AATATTGTAGTAACTTTGTATGGTGGCAGATGGTGGCTACATCGACGGCAGTGAGTTTCTCTCACTACATTATACATTCACATGTAGCGAATGTATAAATGTATATGACTGTCGAACCAACCACTATGTTGAACACAGTGAAACTAATACTAATACTGTATGTCAACCATACTGCAATTAAAAATACATTGTAATAGCTTTGTAAGGTGACAGATGGTAACTAGACTTACTGGGATCCTTTTGTAATGTCTAGAAATATTGAATCCCTGATGTACACTTGACACTCATAGGATTTGTGTGTCAATTATGCTTCAATTAAAAAAAAAGAAATAAGGAGTACAAATATTCAAAGAGCATTCTTTAGTTGAAACTGCATTTAGCAAGGTAAGCTTCCTGGGGGTTTTTCAGTGGATTTGTACTGACATGAAATCTGTTAAGGGCATAAATCATTTGAGAATCACATAACCTACCTTGAGGATCTTTTTTTTTTTTTAAACAATTTTTTTTTTTTAAGATTTTATTTATTTGAGAGAGAGAATGAGAGAGAGAGAGCACGAGAGGGAAGAGGGCAGAGGGAGAAGCAGACTCCCTGCCGAGCAAAGAGCCCGATGCGGGACTCGATCCCAGGACTCGAGGATCACGACCTGAGCTGAAGGCAGTTGCTTAACCAACTGAGCCACCCAGGCGCCCTTGAGGATCTTTATAACACAAGCTCTTGCAAAAGTTTGGTGGAAGAATATTTACTCTCCTAGGGCAAGTGGGTAATAAAATGAGAATAGTGTGAAAAATGGGAATAATTGTATCTACTTCAGAGAATTGTTCTGAGGTTAAAATGAGTCACGATATGTGAAAGGTTGAGGCCAGTGCCTGGTACACGGAAAACGTTATGTAATGGTAGCTGTTGTTTTGCTATTAAAATAGCCACTCGCCCAAATATCCTATTGAAACTGCACTAGTGATTTGCTGGGCACTAAGTGCAATGGATCTTTCTCAGATTTCCTTTTCTCTGCAGCACTGAACGAGGTTAACGGAGAAACATGCTCCCATTTCTGTGCCCACACTGGATGATAATAGTTTATACATCTGTTCCTGCTCAGTCGCAGCAGACCGTGAGCCTTGAGGGCAGGGACCGGGTCCCTAGCCCCAGCATTCAGGACAGATCCTGGCTCGTTGCGGTTCTCAGGAAGTGCTGACGGGCTGAGAGTGTGCCACCAAGGTAGAGGTGGTTTTGCTGGCCCTGTGTCCTGGCCTTGGCTTCTATTTCTCTGCTCATCAATAAGCAGAGCTGCACCCTCAGCCCTCTCCTCCTCTCTAACCTGGTTCTCTCGCAAATCTCATTTTCTCTGAAATCTAATCACCTGTTTAGAGTCTCTCTTCTGAGCTCCTGTAACAACTTCAGCTGCTATCTTGATGTCCTGTAGCACCTTCAGTGCAACAGGGCTAACTCCTCACAGCCCTTCAGAAGTCAGTTTCCCCCTGCACTTTCTGGTTTCTGAGAGGGGACCACCTGTGTTCAGTACCCCAGCCACAAAGTCCTGGATTCACTGTCAACTCCTTTTTCTAGACGTCCACCGTCTTACCTCCTCTACAAGCTACGAATCCTCGGGTTGCAAGAAAATTCAACTCAAACTGACTTAGGAGCAAATAAAAAATTTTCTTACGTAACTGGGAAATCCAAGGATATTCTGCTTCCACACACAGATGAGTCCATCCAGTTCAAATCTGAAATCACAGGGACTCTCCTGCTTTTCGCTCCCTTGGCTCTGCTTTCCTTTATGTGGGCTCCATTCTCAGGCAAGTTTGCTCATGTGGCAAGATGGCTGCCAACAAGTCCAGGCTTACATCATATCCTCAGCAACACCAGGGGCAAGGGAGCACCCTGTTCTCAGGTAATAATAGAAAAACTCCCTGGATTAGCTTTTATTCTAACTGGATCAGGTGCCAATTCCTCAAGCAGTTTCTGGGGCTGGGAGCTTGAGGTAGAGGAAGTGATGCTGAGTCTCCAGGTCTGGGTCTGGGGGTGGAGTCGATTCACCCCAACCACATGAACAGAGAATGGGGGTGGAATGGTTGTCTAAGAAATATATGGGTTCCATCACCAGGAGGAAAGAGGACTTATGTGGGGCAGGATATCAACTAAGGAGACACCTGCCACAGTCTGAGAGATGGCAGACAAGGATCTGACCAGGTAGGTGATGTAGGTACAGAAAATGAAGAGAAGCATCTCAGAGATACCCAGGAGTTAGAATTGACAAGACTTGAATGAGGGTAAGAGAGAGGCAGGAAGCCAAATGACATTAATTTCTGGCTTTGATGATTGGTGGGTGGTAGAGCCTTTTCTGAGACCGAGAAGAGATTTTAAAGGAGGAATGGTGATGACTGAGTTTACATGCTGAGTTTGAGATGTTTATGAATCCTCAGGTAGAGATGTCCAGCAGATGTGGGTTGGAAATGAACGTGGCGTTACCAGCCATAGTGATGGTTGGAATCACGGAAATGGGTGAAAATGAGCCATGATGAATGTGCATAACGAAAAGAGGGCGAAGATCTGGCCCAGTGAAAATGTTTTAAGGAGTTTGCCAAGAGTGGTTAATAGCCTCAAATCCTGCAGAAGGTAAATAAAAGCTAAATTGGTCCATCTAATTAGCAACTACAAAGTAACTGGTGACTTTGGTGAGTAGTTTCATTGGAATGGTAACGGCACAAGCCAGGATTAAGGAGAATCAAGGATGGGTTGGGAGCTGAGGAAGCACAGGCTTAGGGCGAAGGCATCCCTCTGAAGGAGGCTGGGATGGAAGATAGGCCGGAATACAGTGTCTTTTCCCTAAAGCACGTATTCTTTGTGCTTATCAGTCAACACCTCAATTATTATTATTTTAAAAGATTTTATTTATTTATTTGACAGAGAGAGGGGGAACACAAGCAGGGGGAGTGGGAGAAGGAGAAGCAGGCTTCCCACTGAGCAGGGAGCCCGATGCGGGGCTCGATCCCAGGACCCTGGGAACATGACCTGAGCCCAAGGCAGACGCTTAATGACTGAGCCACCCAGGCGCCCCTCAATTGTTTTCATTAGCTTTTGTTTTAAACATATGCACGTCTGTTCCACATTCTCAAATAGACTCTAAGTTCTTGAAGGTGGCAAATGACTTTATCTGTGTGAACTTCATTAAGACTGAGAACAGTACGCTGCCCACAGTAAGAATAAAATGATTGATAAAACATGGATTTGGGGCCTGAGTAAAGGGTATCCTTACATCAGCGACCCGGCCAAGTGTCTTGGTGCCTGACTCCCCAGTTTTTGTCCCACTCTGGGAAATAAACGTGTAGCAACTGAGCTGAGGCAAAGTCCAGAATAGCTTCTCAAACTAACATGCTACAAGTGGGCAATGGTTCTAGGGTGCTGAGTCCCTGGAGGTCCTTGGTGTTTTGAGGGCTACCTGTAATTTACTGACCTGTGGACTATAAAACAAGGGAAAAGGAGAGGCCTGCTTTACACACATTCATCAAGCAGAATAAAACCTTAACAGTTCATCACAGAATCCTTAACGGTGGTCAGAATCTGGCCTGCCTCATCAAGGCCAAACAATCCCATTTAAAAGAAATTTTGGTGAGTGCTTAGAGCAGTAAAAGTTCCAGACTGGACTTGGCTGGTTCTTGTACTGAATAGGAAAAGCAGCACAAAATGGTTATATGAGGTAGTGTGACATCAGGAAAACAGCATTAAACTCAATAGCCGAAAGACCTAGTTCTCTATGCCTTTATGTTATTAGCTGGGTGCCCTTGGGCTAGCTGCTGGACCTTTCTGAGACTGTATTCTTATTTGTTATAAGGGGTAATACCTACTTTGCCAACCTCATTAAAACTCCAGTGAATGGCTCACAGAATCCTCCTTCCCTCCTAAGAACTCAAACTGGATGTAAAAATACTGGGTAAACTACAGAGCGGGAATGGTGATTTTTAATGTGTTAAGTACTACTATATGCTTGGCACTTTGTTTATTCACTACATATTCACAAGCTACAACTTAAATCACCACACACTTCTCTGTGACACGCCCCTCCCCCATAACATTCTCTTCTCCTTGGATCACTGGTGTGTCAGATACCAGATACCAGTTCTACGGCAAGAGCTTCTAAAGATCCGGATCTATTCAAACGATGTGGCATACTCCAATGTGCCTGATTGATAATTAACAGCATTGTCATCATGAACAAATCCAGATGGCCACAAATCATGCTCTCTGGATATAAAAATCCCACATAGTCAAGCACTAGAGCAGATGCAAAAACAATGTGAGAAATAAGTATAGGATGGGTTGTGTTAAGTTGTGTGTTGGAATTCTAAGCACAAGGAATGGTACATTTCTCAGCAACAGACGTGAAGTCTGCAGGGAATTTTCAGAAATGGAAGACAGAAAAACTTTATAACGAACACGAGGAAACTGGCAGTCTCAAGCAGAAAAAATAAGCTAAAAAAAAGTTATTCTGTGCTTAAGTTTTTGAAAGTTATATGAAGTATAATTTGGAGATCACAATGGGATTTGCAAGATTTAATTCAGTATTTAAATCATTTCCTTGCTGCTCCAGGAAAGTTATCAAATTAGAAAATTAGTGATTCTTCCTATTTTGCTTATGTCTCATCAACTGGTTTTCCCATCCCTATGCTGATGACAGGGATGATACAGCCCATCATCAGTGTGAGGTTTTGAGAATATTATTAATTATAAATGGACTGACTTAAAGGCCCTAAAAAGGGACCAAGATGTGCAGTGTTAAGGACTCCTCTTTATCCATACTGAGCCAGATGGGGCTTATGGAAGGGTGTTCTAGCTGTGTGTGTGTGCAGAGGCCTAGGGGGTTGTTACTCAGGGCAATAAAAACAACCGATAATGTCCGCTTCATTTGAGCATTTATTTTTAAGTGGTTTTCTAACTCAAATGGGAAAATAACATCTCGAGAGAAAGGAAAACAATGCTTGTGCCTTTCTTTTTGAACTCAAAATGTTAATCATTACTTCCTATGGTCATCAATAGGGCTGAGCTCACTGCAAATGCTAATGTACAAGAAAAGCTCATAGCGCAGAACCACCACCTAAACCATTGTCTTTGTCTCTTCTTCTCACCTGCTCCTCCTCGTACCTCCCCGGAGGAACTTTCAAAGCTTCTAATAAAACTCAGCATATGTATTTAAGATGATACACAGCATTTCTTGCACTGCCATCAGTTAGTTTTGGGAGGGGACCTTGCTTTGCATTAGTTTCAAATGACACGTCATTCCGCAAGCCCGGTTATTAGGGGGAGTCTCCACTCCAACATTGCTCACCCCTGGAGAAGCTAGTACCCGCCAGAAGCCTGTTCATCTCGAGGTGCCCTGCAGCGTTCGCTGGTAACATGCATCCTTCAGTCATGTGCGCACAGGAGTGGCTGGTCCAGTCTGAAGGCATGAGTGGCCTGTAATTATTACATCAAGAGTCCTAACTGGTTTGTTGGTTATTTTCAAACTCTACCATCAAAATATTTAGGTGACTGGGTGCTCAACGTCGAGCCACGCTATGCCGTTTCCTATCGGCCATTTTTCAGAGGAAGTCTATCTTTTCCAGCCCTTCCAAACGGCAGCATCTAGAAGGTACTCTAAGGAGGGTTTTTACTGTAAGTTGAGGTTTTAGGAAAGAATATTTTAGAGTGAGTCACTAAAAGCAACCTGGGAGAAAAGCAGGCAATAGCAACACTAACCAAAGTGAATCAAGCACAAATACTAATGGTCCTGAGATATAAACTACTAGGCACAAGATAAAACAACATAGGGTGCCTGGGTGGCTCAGTTGGTTAAGCGACTGCCTTCAGCTCCGGTCATGATCCTGGAGTCCCGGGATCGAGTCCCACATCGGGCTCCCTGCTCCGCGGGGAGTCTGCTTCTCCTTCTGACTCTCCCCCCTCTCATGCTCTCTCTATCTCATTCTCTCTTTCAAATAAATAAATAAAAAAAATCTTAAAAAAAAAAAAAAATAAAACAACATATTGCAACTTTATTAGATTTTTTTCTGTTTTACTGGCTGTTTGGACTCAACAAAGGCCTTAGTAACCTGTCACTTTAACATCTTCAGGTGTCACCGTAGAGAACACAAAATCTGACTGGATGGCACCCGTCAACCTGTCGAACAGAACAACCGTTAACATCACAGCTGTGGTCATGTAATGTTTTTATAATAATTCAATCACAAACATAAAGACACTCAGTATCATGTGGGGGGTTTTCTGCTGCTGCAGGACCTCATCCACAAAGTTTACCAAACCAGGCCTCGTTAATGACAGGTCCCAAAAGATGCCATGTGCAGGCAAAACTCTGCCTCATATTTAGGATAAGCAAAGTAGCAAGTCTATGAAAAATTGCTTTTGAGCCCCTATTCCTATACCTCCATACACGTTCCCTCCTCAACGTGTCCCATTATCCATTCATCTAACATCCGGATAGGACCCCGTGGGTACTTTCCAAGTGAGAGTGGTGTTTAGGGTTTTGCTGGGTTCAGGGGAAGGGGCTGGATGGGTGGATGAATGGACAAACAGACAAAGGGAGGAGGGAAAGGAAACATTTAAAAACCTTATTTACTAGAACGCGCTTCACGACACCTCTCAGACTATAAACCAGGCTTGCTGTAAAGAAGTTCATTCTGATGACTACAGGCTTCCATGAGTGAGTTAGGCAGTATCTTGATCTATCCCCACCCCCTAATAGATTTTCCTAAAACCTGTGGGACAATCAGGGAGGAAGCACAGACATCCCTTTCCAAACGAGGGCAGTGGGACTCCTCCCGGAAGGTAACGTTATGACCCTGGCTGCCGAGAGCAGCAGCTGCCCGCCAGCCACTCGGGGACGGGCAGTTACAGCTGTGCACATTGAGCCGGTCAGGTCTCGAGTCTGGTGTCTAAGGAGCGTTTCCGTCCACCTTCGTTCCATGAGGGGCAGTGGCGTTTGGCAACTGTGGTCAGCATTCTATCCTTTGATCACGGCAATCGGTCTCAGTTTAATGGCCTTCTTGCTGATTCCAGCATCGTGGCAGGTGTTCACCACATCCGTCACGTTCTTATAGGACTCGGGAGCCTGAAGGGAAGGAGTTAAAAACTGTAAAAATCTACTTAAAATGTAATCCTTGAAAGCATTAAACGTCATGTGGGATCAAAGAAATGCACATTAAAATACTACTGAGTTTTCTTTTTGGTGTGTGTATCAAACAAAGATGATGACTGAACTCAATGTTGGCAAGAGATTAATAAGATAAACACTTTCACCTTTATATTTTTCCTCTCTGTCTCATAATTTCCCCATAGAATGTATATTACTTGTATAACTAGGAAAAACAGTAAATGTTTAACTGAATAAAACACACAACAGAAAGGAAATGCACCAAATCATCCTGTTAGCGGTCATTATCTTTGGTTGGTAGTTACTGGCCATTCTGACTTTATTTCCACAGTTGTCAAAATTTCTGGAATGAACAGCTATTACCTTCACAACAAGGGAAAGTTATTCAATGCACCTGTATTACTAACACCGTGTGTATGTTTATATGTATATACACGGACACGCTCGCTGTTCTTTCTGAGTTTGCAGCAAGACCTCGACCCTCCCTTCCCCCTCAGTCACTGTCCTGCCATTCAGACTAGTCTCATCACACACCCCCTCTCCCCAGTGATGGCAGCATAGCAGCTCAGGCCTCCCACTGGATTCCCACAGGGCTCTGTACACACCCCTTGCTAGCTCATTCCCCTCCAATCTCTAACTTTCGCACTGCAGCCTCTGGACTCCTTCCAGTTAGTCATGTGCAGAATGCTCTCCCTGTCCCCCCGATCTGAACACTCCCTTCACCCTCCTGCTCTTGAGGAAACACAGATCTCCTCCAGGGATGTAACTTCCACCTCCAACTTTCTGAAGTACTAGCTACTTTCCCTCCTAAGTGGGGTCCTGTCATTAGGCCCAGGACGGTGACGGGTGTGGCCTTGCTCATCTTGGTTCTTTCCAGACCATTCGCACTCCCTCCCCACTAAGTAATCCCCGTTTCCCTTTTTGAGTCTCCGGTCATCTTTCACTCCCTCTTCTTGCTGCAGTTACCTGCTAGACCCGGAAGCACTCCGTAGCATTACTTGAAGATTTCTCGCTCCTGGCTCACTGTCACTCTGTTCTGCTATAATTCCAAATAGTTTCAATATCTAGGATAAGGACACTTTCAGTATCTTGGCTTCCAGTTCCTTGACTTTTGCTCCTTCAATGCTTACCCTGATCATTCACTCCCAGCCAGGGCCATACCCCACAACTTGTCATTAGCAGCAATTAAACTCCTCCCTAATCTCCACTTGGGAGCATGTCAGGCTGCTGACCACAGCTAGGTTTCCAGCTCATGCCCTCCTGTGCTCCATGTCCAACGATCCTTGAACCCCGTGAGATGTACAATCTCTTTGCAATTCCTCAACAACCTTGTGTCTCTTCCACGGCACCACACTTGCAGACCTGGTTAAAGTTAACTCACCCTCTATTTCACGCCTGCACGTGTACAGCTGAATGTAGCTGAAAAACACCCAGTCACCAAACTGAGCTCCAGTAGGCCCTTGCTGCTGTCCTGGCACCCACCCCAAATCTCACCAGGCTGATCACTCTTTCTCTTCAATGGTTATTTCATACCTTCTCCTGCGTCCCCACGCTTAAGTTGCTGGTACCACTTTCTACTACACTGAAAAAAGAGAAACCACCAGAACAGAATCTCCATAAAATCTCACCAGCTCTTCCCCGACTACCTGCATCCTACCTTCTCTCCTTTTATTAAGGATTCATTATCTGAGCTCCTAGCAAAGACCAACCCCATGCACTCTCATCTATCCAAGGACACTACTCCAATAATTCCCCCCTCTTTTCTGCATCAATTTCTCTTCCAGATTCTTCTCATCAGTGTGCCAGATCATGTTACTCTTCTGCTCAAAATTCTCCAATGTCTTCCCATCCCCTCCCTCAGAGTAAGTGCAAAAGTCCTTCTGTAAAGGAAAGGCAAGGACTCACACGATCTGGCGCTCCCACCTCTCTGACCTCAGCTCCCTCTTGCTTGTTCTTATCATAGTGGCCTTCTTGCTATTTCTCCAACATCCAGGCATAATCTCGCCTTAGGGTTTCTGCACGTGGCTGTTCTCTCTGCCTGGAAAGCTTGCCCCTAGATACCTACACAGTCCACTCTCTCACTCCCTTCAGGTCTTCACTCAAGTATCACTCCACTACACCCTATTTAAAACCGCACCCACTTCCTATCTTTCCCTATCCCTGTCCCATTCTTACTTTGTAGCACTTAATGTCTGTCATCTAACACTACATCTTTTACTCTGTGCTAAGTTTCACAAGAAAGGGATTTGTTGGTTTTGTTCTCTGCAGTACCCCAACTACCTAGAATAGCACCTAACTATAGATGTTTAATAAGTATTTCCTGAGTGAATGAAAAAATCATACGTAAAACATACACATAAAGAAAATACCAAGTATCAATAAAGGTTATCTCTGGTTGGTGTAATTTTATTTTATTTTATTTTTTATTTTTTAAAGATTTTTTATTTTATTTATTTGAGACAGAGAGAATGAGAGACAGAGAGCATGAGAGGGAGGAGGGTCAGAGGGAGAAGCAGACTCCCTGCCGAGCAGGGAGCCCGATGCGGGACTCGATCCAGGGACTCCAGGATCATGACCTGAGCCGAAGGCAGTCGCTTAACCAACTGAGCCACCCAGGCGCCCTAGTTGGTGTAATTTTAGATGTTTTGTTTTCTTCTTTGCATTTTCCAAAATCTCTTAATGAAATAGGTGTTTCTTTTCTTTTTTTTTTTTTTTAAGACAGGGAAGGGCTCAGGAGGGGCAGAGGGAGAGGGAGAAAGAGAGAATCTTAAGCAGGCTGCATGCCCAGAGTGGAGCCCGGCTTTATCTCACAACCCTGAGATCACGATCTGAGCTGAAACCAAGAATCGGACGTTTAACCAACTGAGCCACCACCCCATAAACAGGTGTTATTCTTAAAATCAAAGAAAAAATTGTTATTAAGAAATAAGGCTTTGGGGCGCCTGGGTGGCTCAGTTGGTTAAGCAACTGCCTTCGGCTCAGGTCATGATCCTGGAGTCCCTGGATCGAGTCCCACATTGGGCTCCCTGCTCAGCAGGGGGTCTGCTTCCCCCTCTGCCCTCTTCCCTCTCGTGCTCTCTGTCTCTCATTCTCTCTCTCTCTCAAATAAATAAATAAAATCTTAAAAAAAAAAAAGAAATAAGGCTTTGTCGTACTCTGTGACTCAGTAAGTCTACTCTTGGGATTTCAGTCTGATTTTTTTTTAAGATTTTATTTATTTGAGAGAGAGAGAGAGAAACAGTATGAGAGGGGAGAGGGTCAGAGGGAGAAGCAGGCTCCCCGCTGAGCTGGGAGCCCGATGCGGGACTCGATCCCAGGACTCCGGGATCATGACCTGAGCTGAAGGCGTAGACACTTAACCAACTGAGCCACCCAGGAGCCCCTTCAGTCTGATTATTAAAAACAGCTGGATGGGGCACCTGGGTGGCTCAGTCGTTTAAGCATCTGCCATCAGCTCAGGTCATGATCCCAGGGTCCTGGGACTGAATCTGCTCAGCAGGGAGCCTGCTTCTCCCTCTCCTCCCCGTTCGCCATCTTTGTCTCTCTCTCAAATAAATAAATAAAATCTTAAAAAAAAAAGGTAAGAATCATTCTTGTGGACTTGCCTTGTAATTAATCTCCAAACAAAAGACAATGATAAATTGTAATTGAGGTTATTTAAAAACAAACATAGTTATCTGATAGCAATACCGAAAGTTATGCTGTGTAGTGGCATAAATCACAGACAGTTTTATGCGGAGCATTTATCGAAATTTCACTTACCTCTTCCATAACCAATTTGGGTGAGGCAACGCGGATTGCGATTCCCATATCTGCCAGTTTGTCCAAGACATCCTGAAAATCTAAATTACGACGAGATTTTGCTCGGGACAATGCACGGCCCTAGATTAGGAAAGGAATGAACTTTAAAAATTCTGAGCTAAAATTTACATTCAACTCCAATAATTATTTAAACTTTTGGGATTATATGCCTTTTCCCTGACTTCTTTAGAGTTAGAAAATAATCTTTTTCTGTTTTATCAACCTTAGTCTTTTGTTACAAATCGCATCATACCCTTCCAGAAAACAAATTTCCACCTATATAGAACATTCAGTATTGAAAGATTTAGTTTTGTATTTGTAATTAATTATCAATTCAATATAAATTGATTTTAATCACAAACAGTAGGTCTGTCATCACAAAAACCTTGTGCCTTTTGATTTAAAACAGTTTTTCAACCTTAGCACTACTCACATTTTGGGCTGGATAATTCTATGTCACATAGAATGTTCAGCAGCATCCTTGGCCTCTACTAGATGCCAGGAACAAAACTCCCCTCCCTTACCGTGACAATAAACAAACAAAAAAACAATGCCTCCAGGTGTTGCTAATGTGTGGTATGCGATGTTGTGCTGGTTATCACTGGGTTAAAAATGAGGAGTTGGGAGGCAGCTGGAAATGAGAAGGGATCAGAGAAAAAGGAAGGCTCAAATACATTTGTGAGGGTCTGTCCTATAAGAAGATACTCTAGAGTTTCAATTTTCCACTCCATCACTAGCTAAGCACTCTCATGGCTCAGAACATGGCGTGGCAAACTGGTTTGTGGGCCAATCTGGCCCACCACCTGTTTCTGTAAATAAAGTTTTATTGGCATACAGTAATTCCCATTGGTTTATGTATTGTCTATGGCTGCTTTTTCACTACAATAGCACAATGGAATAGGTACTACAGAGACCATATGGCCCCAAAGCCTAAAATATCTACTGTCTGGTGCTTTACAGAAAAAGTCTGCCAACCCCTGGCTTAGAAGATAAGAGGCGATATGGTGAAATAGGTGTGCTGTCTACGCCTGGGCTCTGAGGTGCAAATCCCCCAAATCTTGAGTGGACCTACCTAGAAAGGAGCAAATTCCGCAAATGACTAGGTCTGTGAATGGCTGAGATAAGCTGTGATGTGAACTTGCATCAGTTAAAGTTCTATCTGTTATGCCAATGTGGGAATTTCCCAGTCTGGATTTTGTGGACTTGCAGAGGTGGGAAACAGTCCCTCACTCTACAATGACTCCACTAAGGTAGAGATTACTAAGTGACCTTAGTTGGTTCACTAGACAGCATATATTATGGGAAGAAATTCAGGTAGGAAACAAGATGGATCCAAACTTCAACTCTGTTAATGCTCAAATACATTAACCTGTCAAAACGCAAAATGGCAAACTGAAGAGACCATTTCTAAGTTTCTGTTTTCCTTACCGCTCCATGACAAGTTGTTCCAAAGGTCTCAGTCATGCCCTGTTCAGTGCCAGTAAGAACGTAACTACAGGTACCCATAGTGCCGCCAATGAGCACGGGTTGTCCAGTGAGCTGAGGATGCAAACACCAATCCAACATATTACAATTTAGAAAAGCTTTAAATGAGCTTTTTATGCCTGAGATTTATACTTCCTCTTGTAGTGCAGGGCTGTGGGAGAAAGCTGGGCCTCCAAATACACTGCTTTCAAAACTTACTAGGACATATTTTAATTCTTGGATAACTGGGAGGGAAAAATGTGAGGACCAGGAAGGCAGCAGAAAACAGACAATGCAGGAGTGAAGCCAAATTCAAATGTCTGGCGAAGCGTCATTAGGAAGAACCATCCCGGGCAAGGCGCTTGACCTCTCCAGGTTCTGCTAAGGGCCCTTCTACCTCTACCACAACCAGATACCAAGAGGAGAGGAGAGATGAACAGACTGAGTTTAATCTTAATCTTGCCTTCCAATCATTCAAAGGCCTTGAAGAGATCACCTATATGGAGTAAAAGAGTCTCCATGCAGGACGTTTTAGACTTCCCACTGCAGGCACAGATGAGGGGGGAGTCATTGCTTCAGAGAAGACTGGAAATCACTGTTCTCAGGGAGGACAGACTTTCTTTACACAACCACTGCCTCTCTGTTTAAATTCACCCATGTTTAGAACGACCTAAATCATGCCCCCATGGCCTGAAACCACAAATGGCTTAGTACATACTTGGTAATCAACAGCAATGAGGGGATGGTGAGGGGGGAAAGCTCGGGTGGATCCCTTCCTGTGAACCAACAGTGTCCGTTCCTTTCCGTCCACCACGTGCTGCTCTACTTTGGCAATATTGTGAGAAACGTCATAGATCACATGCAGGTCCAAGTCATCAGGGGTTGTGTTGAAGACCTTGGCGAAGGCCTAAAAGGAAAAGCCTATGTTAAAAGCGGCCAGAACCAGCTCTTCAGAACTCCTCTGGTTTCAGCTGCTCTGTTCCTATAGGGAGTGAGGGATTTAAGAGCTCAAATATAGCAGTATTATTAATCTTCACATAAAAGACAAAAACCATCCTTTACACCACATTGCAAATTTCACTCCATAAATTCCAACTCTGGTTGAAAAGCTGCTGGGCTACTCTTAATTCCACTATTCAGAACAGCTTCTTCCTCAGCCTTCTAATCTTCGTGAATGCACTTCTATCCTATCTGCTGCTCAAGGCAAATTCTAGGAACAATTTTGGTTTCTCTTCTTTTCTCATTCCCCACACCTGATACTCTGCTGATTTGATTTAAGGAGACATCAAGAGCCTGGACACCTTGCCAATATTTCCAGGATTTATTACATAGATTTCGAAAACCGGATTCTATAGGCTCTTTTTTAAACCTTATCATGAGTAACAGAAGAGCAACTTCAACTGTACCTGACGGGTTAAGAAGGTCATGGAGGAGCGGTTGACCCAGGCATAGTTCCCAGCAGCTGCCATCCCCTTTAGGTAGTCCTGACCCTCTGGGGAAGCGATCCGAGCACAAGCCAACTGCCGGTCGTTGACTATAATCTTGTCTCTCTTCATGGCTTTTTCCATAGCTACCAGTGCATCTGGACCAGAGAGAAGAAGTCTAAATCGGCCGCTTTTACCTTTATAATTCAGCTTTATTGCAGAAAAGTAGGCTACATTCAAACCCATTTTTTAAAAAGCAAATAAAATACAACTTTTCCTTTGACGTGTTTCTAAGTTCATCTATTCGCTTGGTCAAGACATGGTTATTGAGGATCTTCTGTCAGCGCTGTGTGACACAAAGTATGTGGGTTACAAAGCTAACACCTTCCCTATAGGAACTTGGACAGGGAATGAGGTGAACACAAATAGCAACAACATGGTCTTAGTCTCCCCTTTCCTGGCATGAAAATGAATGAATAGAAATAGTAAAGTACATTTTATTACTGTCATGGTTTTAAAAAATAATCTTTTAGTGACTTAACAGAAAAGACTTGGAGACAAGTTGCTAGAAGAGCAGGAAAATCAAATCCATGGCAAAGTGCAGAGAAGTACTCAGTCAGAATTACTAGTCAGTGCTCCATACATTTGCCAGATTTAATATTCTAATGGGTCAAGCTGGCCCAAATTATTAAATTCCCATAGGATGAAATGTACACACAAGGATGAACTATTATAATATACAACTTAAGGTTTATAAAAATTTCCATGTGTTTATATACCTTCTCATAAATTCATAAATCCTTTCACACGTCCTATCAATCATCCAAAGTGACCTTGCTGCTGTTCCCCTGCCTTCTGCTTTTGTTCATGCTGTCTTTCGGTCATGAATGTCCTTTGTGCATGATTGTTCAAACTGCAAACAGTATGTGTTCACCACGCCACCTCCAGTATCTTTTTTTTTTTAAACGCTTTATATAGACTGTTCTTTGGTATTTTATCAAGTACTACCTTTTCATTTTAAAGAACGTGACATCTCTTTCTTGAGACAATTTGAGGGCAGGTCCTTGCCAATTTCATCACCGAATCCACTATAACACTTAATCTTGCATTACAGGTATGTAAAACACATCTGCATACATCATAAATGTATAAATGGAATAGTATAATGCAAACTATTTAATCTCCTATGACAATACCATGTGAAATAGTAAAAACCTATGCAATATAGTTCGAGCTTTCTCTCTGAAATCGCTATTTGGTTCCCTATAAATGCGTGTTTGAGCACTGAGTCAAAAATTAGATCCAGAATATACCTGTGGCTACTTGGTGGCCCAAGCCTCTGCTTCCACTGTGGATCATCACACACACCTGTCCCTTATGGTCGATGCCCATTTTCTTAGCTGCGTACTCATTGAAAATCTCATCCACAACCTGGATTTCTGCATAGTGGTTGCCTGCTCCCAGGGTCCCCAACTGCAAAAGTAAGAATGTCTGATAAAACACCTTCTATTTCGCTTTTAAAGATTTATTGATTTGAGAGAGAGAGTGCGGCAGTGTGCATGCACAAGTCGGGGGAGGTGCAGAGGGACAGTCTTCAAGTAGACTCCCCACTGAGCGGGGAGCCTGACACGGGGCTTGATCTCCCAAACCCATGAGATCTTGACCTGAGTGGAAACCAAGAGTCAGACACTCAACTGACTGAGTCACCCAGGCGCCAGGCTTCTATTCTGCTTTAAAAAAAAAAATCATTTAAAAAGCAAATTGGTAAAATCAACTGGTAGATAAATAATCACAGTGTTTTATATAACAAAGAAATTTCTCAGCCTCAGAAATGCTTCATGCATTTAAAGCAATACACAATAAAAAAATATGGTAGAGTAGCTCTTGAAGTTTACTGTATCATTACTTGCTTGAGGTATATACAAATATGTATTAAAAACTTCATAAACCAAAACTCAGACCATTAAATGGCCCATAGAACATTTTAATTTTTTTTTTTAAAGATTTTTTTTATTTATTTATTTGAGAGAGAGTGAGAGAGAGACAGCACAAGAGGGGGAAGCGGGAGAGGGAGAAGCAGACTCCCTGCTGAGCAGGGAGCCCGATGCGGGACTCGATCCCGGGACTCCAGGATCATGACCTGAGCCGAAGGCAGTCACTTAACCAACTGAGCCACCCCGGCGCCCCCCCATAGAACATTTTAAACGTTGTGGACAGAAGGGTCAAATTTTGGGATGAACTCTGGTGAATGCAGACTCTTACACAAGGTCTAAGTTCGAATGATTTTTAAAACATCTATGAGTTTAGTGACAACTACCATTATCCACCACTGAAAGAATGTATCCTGTAACTGGAGTTAAGAGATGATTTAGGGACCACGGCACAGAAGTGCTGGAAGAGTCTTTAGAGGCTGCCTAGATTTAACAAGTTTAACTAGTTTTCAGGTAAGAAAACCAGACTCAGAGGTACACCTGGGTGGCTCAAGTCGGTTAAGCATCTGCCTTCGACTCAGGTCATGATCCCAGGGTCGTGGGACTGAGTCCTGCATCGGGCTCCTTGCTCAGTGGTCCAGCCCTCCCAACACACTCTCCCTCTGCCTCTCCCCCTACTTGTGCTCTTGCACTCTGACAAATAAAATCTTAAAAAAAAAGAAAAGAAAAGAAAAGAAAACCAGACTCAGGCAAAAGAGACTTGCCCACAGTCACAGAGAATTAATGGCAAAGCCATTGCCATTAGCTGTAGATTTCAAACATGTGGTATATTCTTATCTCATGGATGCCATGAACTGACAAGGTATGTCTTCTCATCTTGGACTCCATAAAACTCAGCCACATCTGTGGACTGTCAAAGTATGTACGTACGTAATTTGGGCATACATTTTTAAGCCTTATAATCATATCTCACTTTTCTCCCATCCATTTCTAATTCAGCACATTTTGTTTTGTTTTATGAACATCTGCAAGTTCCTAACAGTTTTTTAAGAGTAAGAACGAAGCATAAACAAATTTGTGTTCTTTTTGATATACTGTGAAAAACCTGGGGATATGTTTGCTACATAGAAGACATTTCCCCCTCAATAGAAACACACGACCCACCCCCCCACCCCCCGGCCCCAAGAACGTTGCCCCTCCCACGTGTTACCTGAGGAAGGCCTCTTTTCTTAGCCCTTGCGGAGACCTTGTTGGGGTCAGCCTGCAACATCCTTCCGTACTCCTCACAGTGCTCCTTGTCCTCAGCCCAGGCATAGCCTTCCCTCAGGGACCAGTCCACACCCATCTCCAAGGCCTCCTCCAAGTCTCTGAGGGAATAATAAGGTCTGGTCATTTCACAGCCAAGGCAGAGCAAAAGCTAAGATGACCACACCTCAAAAGGGCAGAAGGAAACGGTCCATTTACTCTCGCCTGTGTACCAGGCGCTGTGCTAGATGCACAGTTTGTGCTCTCAGCAGCTCCAGGCTTTTTGAGGAAAGCAGCTACATAAATAATTGCGATATAAAACAGTAAGGACCATGTGAGAGATAATTATAGTTCTTCAGACATTTATTCAGTCCCTTGTACTCTTCAAATCTTCTTTGCTTTAGATTTGCCTCTCTGAAAGGCAAAGAAAATTTATAACTGCCATCAGATATCACCATCTACCACTAACTTTACCACAGCTACCCACCTTCATTAATAATTTATGAACAATTACAGCCAAATAATAAACCTATGTAAATGCCTTCAGGTGGCACAGGATAAATTTTAAGGTATCTCTGCAGAAATACTACATGGCTTCAGTGCACATGCATTTTGAAGGGGCACATACATTAAATCCCTAGAAGGAAACAGCCTTGATCTTCATCTAAGGTCCAGCCCTCCCAACACACTATCTGGAAGGTTAAATGATCTAGGTCATCTCCCCACTATAGCCCATTTCAAACATTATTTATGATATAGGACAAGATTTCTATTTAAAATATTTATGAAGATCTTAGAATTCATATTGTCCTAGGTATGCTTTTCAAACCAGGGCTGCATGTCAGGACCACATAAATCGCAGATCCTTCAATTTATCAGTTTACTCCAAGTTTTTTGTTTTTGGTTTTTGGCTGGAGGGGAGCTGCAGAACTGTTAACAGCCAGAAACATACTGGTATTAACGTATGTACGTGTATGTAATTAGAATGCCAAAGTCACATAATTTTAAAGATAAAACAGAAGATGCCAAAGAAACATTCTAGTTAAGCACACGTTCCGCAAAGTTTAAGACGCACAGCTTTGCAAGAGCCATGACGGTACCGTCACTGGCCATCGAAAAGGCAGTTGTGCTGTGGCTTTCAATCTCATTCTCTACTGCTGAAATATTTAACATCCTCGCTAAATATACAACATTCAGTGCCATCATTCAAAAAGGAAGGTCATGGCTAAATAGAGGCTCACTGAAAAAAGGCGGTTCAGAATACAGCCTCTGAAACCAAAGGATCTCTGGTTTGAATCCTGACTTTACTTACTAGCTTACTACCTCTTTAAACCTCACTTTCCTTTGTCAATTGGGAATAACATTAGGGTTATTATCTAAATAAAATGACATGATAGACGTATACTATAGCACAGCGCCTTCCATGTAGGAAGTGCTCAGTAACTCTCAGGGGTATTTCTCTATTATAAATTCTGTGTGTCAAAGGCTGTTCTAATGAACATCACTTGACTAATCTCTCTAATCAATGGCGCAGGGGGCACCTCATGTGTAAAAGAACAATTCATTACCACTTCCTGAAAGGTGACTGAACAATCCCCATCCCCTAAGCATCCTACATTGGTTATGAATATAAGGGTCACGTGGTTATTTTCTTTCCCAATCTGTTTATTGGAATCTTGTCCTCTTACTTGGCACTCATGGGGATGACACCTTTTGATCCCACCCCAACAGGAATGTGGTCAAACATAGCTTGGGCAAGCTGCTCCTTCACAGGCTGGACATCGCTTTCGTCTAAATTGGTTCTTAGCAAGCGCACACCGCAGTTGATGTCAAATCCAACACCACCTGCAAAATAGAGAAGTCAGTCACAGATTAGCAAAACCAGGTAGTTGGGCAATGTTACCTGTGGTTTCTCACCATTAATATAGGGTTTGAAAGACAGCTCTTCTTTTATTTATTTATTTTTTAAAGATTTTATTTATTTATTTGAGAGAGAGAGAATGAGAGACAGAGAGCACGAGAGGGAAGAGGGTCAGAGGGAGAAGCAGACTCCCTGCTGAGCAGGGAGCCCGATGTGGGACTTGATCCCGGGACTCCAGGATCATGACCTGAGCCGAAGGCAGTCGCTTAACCAACTGAGCCACCCAGGTGCCCCAGACAGCTCTTCTTTTAAAGATAACTTTTTAAAAGTAGCCTACAAAGTAGGTAGTCTGATGACATCAAAACACTTAAAGTAATGTACATACTACAGGTACTTTGTGGGCCAGGAAGGCGGTAATAAACAATGAGTATCATCTAGACTAAAGATTAAAAAAAGATATATACAACTAGAAATTAATCGTAATGATGATAATGAGAGCAATCACTTACCCAGTACTTCCTAAGTGCCTCGTACTGTGCTAAGTACTTTTCACAGCTTAGCTCATTTACTCCTCATAGTAATGCTACGTGGAGTTAACATTACTAGCTCCAATTTGCCCGAGAATTAACTGGGACACAAAGAAGACACATAATTTGCCAGCGAAGCATTTCAGTTTGTTTTGTAGCCAATGTCTAAAAACTGCCTGGCATATAGTAGGAGCCCAAATAATTTTCCATAAATGTACACTTTACTTGATATTTTAATAGCCTCCGAGTGTCCAAAATTAATCCTCTCAGTAAAGTAGGGGACAAGGAATGATAGACATGAGACTGAGAGATGTCCATCCTCCTCTATTTCAGAAGGACTGCTTCACACCTGACGGCAGATGTGCACAGTGACCTTACCTGGGGATACCACTGCTTCGGGGTCACTCATATCAAAGGCTGCCATATTCCCAATAGCAAACCCATAACCTGAATGGACATCAGGAAGCCCAATAGATCGCTGAAAGAGAATTAGAAAATGAAATACAGCTTTCTCAACCTGACAAGACCATATTAATTCTCAAGTGGGCTGTGGGCCGAAGCCTTCCCCAAATCAAGATTCTGTTTTTGTGAAACCTTCTCTATTGGTGAAAATTAAGTATAAAAACTTCTAATCATAAAGTTAAAAATAGCAGGAAAAAAAACCTTTTTAATAAAGTCTAAGAAACTGAAACAGAAACGCCTCAGTATAACATGCTATAGGAGGGCCACATACTAACTTTAAGGTAGTATTATGTTCTAAATATTTATTGTTATAAAAGAAAAATTTACTTATTATTTCAGAGAGTGAGAGAGAGCGGGGTGAGGAGGTGAAGAGGGAGGGAGAATATCTTAAGCACTCTCCGCTGAGTGTGAAGCCCAAAGCAGGGCTTGATCCCGTGACCCTGAGATCATGACCTGAGCCGAAATCAAGAGTTGGATACTCAACCAACTGAGCCACCCAGACACCCGAAGTAGAATTACATTTTAAAGATAATCTTCAGACACGGACAAATTGTGGTCCCATCAGGCTAAGTGAAGGGAAATATCTGATTTATACTGGTCCTTAGTGTTTAAGCCATCATAGGCAAATGTAATCCATTTGCTGGTATGAATACTGTACACTTTCTACATCTGGGGCCTAGGAAAGGGCCCTGACCCAGGAAGAATGCAGGTCAATGCAGACACCTAGACACCTAAGAGTTCCTTACATGCACAGTCCATTTCTGTTCATTTTCCTCCCAAGTGCCAGCACAATAAATGGTATAAAGACCTCAAAAAATGTCTGCTGTAAGGATTTCATACCTTCTTGTGATGGTGGAACCTGAATGTTAGACTGTGGAGGGGCCCCACTTGCACCACCCAGGCCTACCTGTTATCGCCACCATCCTCCTTTCCCAATCATGCCTACAACAACTGTACTGTACTTTCTCCCTCCCCACAGGTCTAACCCTTACACTTCTGTCCATTCTTTCTCCAATCATCCCCTTGAATGGGACCAGAGTGAAACTTTCAATGGTGGTATCCTGATCCAGGAATAATGCTGTACTGTGACAAAGAAACAAGAAAACAAAACTACTTCAAAGATTTTCAAATGCTTACAGGTTCTAGCAAAAAGTAACCAGAAACTGAGATGCTATCTAGACTCAATTACTTCTTTAAGCTCCATGGTTATTTCTAGATGTTTGAAGGTCACTATCTAAGTGACACCGCTATCAGTTAGGCCTGGCCATTCATCCACTCGCAAACTTTGAGACTAAGACAAAATATAAATGATTCAAACTCTGAACATGGACTCACATGAACAATCCCAGGCAGGGCTGCCACATTGCCAATTTGTTTCATGGCTGGCAGGAAGCCACCGACACCTGAAGACAAAAATTCAGAATTAGAAAAGGGGACGCAGGTGATTTTTAGCACTAAGTACATTCATAGGTTTCTTGCTTGCGTTAAATGAAGGGGTAGTGGTCAGGACCACCAGGACAACAAAGCAGGAGAGGATGTTTGGGGTGAAGTGGGAAGGGGGCTTCATCAAGAAGGCAGCCAGCACGGGGGCACCCGGGTGGCTCAGTCGTTAAGCGTCTGCCTTCGGCTCAGGTCATGATCCCAGGGTCCTGGGATCGAGTCCCACATCGGGCTCCCTGCTCGGCGGGAAGCCTGCTTCTCCCTCTCCCGCTCCCCCTGCTTGTGTTCCTGCTCTCGCTGTCTCTCTGTCAAATAAATAAAATCTTAAAAGAAGAAGAAGAAGAAGGTGGCGGCAGCAGACGCACAGGACGGTAGCGAGGGCAACCGGAGTAATCACAGACACGCTGTCAGCGTTCTGTGCATACCACGGGAAGGTTCCTTGCAAACACAGCACTGAGAAATGTGAAACAACTAATAAACGCTATGTTGCCGATGTAAAAAAAAAAAAAAAAAAAAAATTCTTTCAATAGTTTTATTATTTACGCAAAAAAAAAAAAAAAATCAACACTGGTTTTACTCTAAGTGACAAAGAAGGGCAATGCAGAAGAGCTGGGACAACACTGGACTGAAAGGCAGGGGACATGGGGCTCTAGCTTTGCTCTATCACTTGGTCGCAGTGTCATTTTAGGCAAGTCAGGATGTCCTGGTGGGGACAGGGGTGGGATTTAGACTGTGGAGCTAAAAATAAATGGGTTAAAACCAGGTTCCACTGTAATCATTAGAGCATTATATTAGAGCTTTATACACTTATCCCTAAACATTGGTGCAGTTCTGCAAGGTAAGTGTAATCAACTCCCCTTTACAGACGAGATTAGCTGAAGTTCAGTGAGGCTAATCAGTGTACTCGTTAAGAATGCAGACTCTGGAATCAGACACTCTTAGATCTAAGTTCCGCCTCTGTCATTGAGAAGTTATGCAACTGGACTAATTAAAACGACTTACCAACAAACAAGAGCTCAGGGCTAGATGGCTTCCCAGGGGAATTCTACCAAACATTTAAAGCAGAATTAATACCTATTCTTATGAAACCGTTCCAAAAAGGAAAACTTCCAAACTCATTTTACGAGGCCAGCACTACCTTGACCCCGAAACCAGACAAAGACCCCCTCAAAAAGGAGAATTACAGACCAATATCCCTGGTGAACATGGATGCAAAAATTCTCGCCAAAATACTAGCCAATAGGATCCAACAGTACATTAAAAGGATTATTCACCACGACCAAGCAGGATTTATTCCTGGGCCGCAAGGTTGGTTCAACATCCACAAATCAATCAATGTGATACATTAATAAAAGAAAGAACAAGAACCGTATGATCCTCTCAATAGATGCAGAAAAAGCACTTGACGAAGTAAAGCATCCTTTCTTGATTAAAACTCTTCAGAGTATAGGGAAAGAGGCTACATACCTCAGTATCATAAAAGCCATCTATGAAAAACCCACAGTGAATATCACTCTCAATGGGGAAAAACTGAGAGCTTTCCCCCTAAGGTCAGGAACACGGCAGGGATGTCCACTATCACCACTGCTATTCAACAGAGCACTACAAGTCCTAGCTTCAGCAATCAGACAACAAAAAGAAATAAAAGGCACCCGAATCCGCAAAGAAGAACTCAAACTCTCACTCTGCAGATGATATGATACTTTATGTGGAAAACCCAAATGACTCCACCCCAAAACTGCTAGAACTTATACAGGAATTCAGTAAAGTGTCAAGATATAATATCAATGCATAGAGATCAGTTGCATTCCTATACACCAACAACAAGACAAAAGAAAGAGAAAATAAGGAGTCGATCCCATTTACAACTGCACCCAAAACCATAAGATACTTAGGAATAAATCTAACCAAAGAGGAAAAGAATCTGTATTCAGAAAACTATAGAATACTCAGGAAAGAAATTGAAGAAGACACAAAGAAATGGAAAAGCGTTCCATGCTCATAGACTGGAAGAACAAATATCGTGAAAATGTCTATGCTACCTAGAGCAATCTACACATTTAATGCAATCTCTATCAAAATACCATCAATGTTTTTCAAAGAAATGGAACAAATAATCCTAAAATTTGTATGGAAGCAGAAAAGACCCCGCATAGCCAGAGGAATGTTGAAAAAGAAAAGCAAACCTGGCGGCATCACAATTCCGGACTTCCAGCTCTATTACAAAGCTGTCATCATCAAGACAGTATGGGTCTGGCACAAAAACAGACACATAGATCAATGGAACAGAATAGAGAGCCCAGAAATGGACCCTCAACTCTATGGTCAACTCATCTTTGACAAAGCAGGAAAGAATGTCCAATGGAAAAAAGACAGTCTCTTCAACAAACGGTGTTGGGAACATTGGGCAGCCACATGCAGAAGAATGAAACTGGACCATTTCCTTACACCACACACAAAAATAGACTCAAAATGGATGAAAGACCTAAATGTGAGACAGGAATCCGTCAAAACCCTTGAGGAGAACACAGGCAGCAACCTCTTTGACCTCAGCCGAAGCAACTTCCTAGAAACATCGCCAAAGGCAAGGGAAGCAAGGGCAAAAATGAACTATTGGGACTTCATCAAGACAAAAAGCTTTTGTGCAGCAAAGGAAACAGTCAACAAAACCAAAAGATAACCCGACAGAATGGGAGAAAATATTTGTAAATGACATATCAGATAAGGGGCTAGTATCCAAAATCTGTAAAGAACTTATCAAACTCAACACCCAAAGAACAACCAATCCAATCAAGAAATGGGTGGAAGACATGAACAGACATTTCTGCAAAGACATCCAAATGGCCGACATATGAAAAAGTGCTCAACATCACTCGGCATCAGGGAAATACAAATCAAAACCTCAATGAGATACCACCTCACACCAGTCAGAATGGCTAAAATTAACAAGTCAGGAAACAACAGATGTTGGCGGGGATGCGGAGAAAGGGGAACCCTCCTACACTGTTGGTGGGAATGCAAGCTGGCAGCCACTCTGGAAAACAGTATGGAGGTTCCTCAAAAAGTTGAAAATAGAGCTACCCCACGACCCATCAATTGCACTACTGGGTATTTACCCCAAAGATACAAATGTAGGGATCCGAAGGGGTACGTGCACCCCAATGTTTATAGCAGCAATGTCCACAATAGCCAAACTATGGAAAGAGCCTAGATGTCCATCAACAGATGAATGGATAAAGAAGATGTAGTATATATACACCATGGAATAGCATGCAGCCATCAAAAAAATGAAAGCTTGCCATTTGCAAAGACGTAAATGGAACTAGAAGGTATTATGCTAAGCAAAATAAGTCAATCAGAGAAAGGAAAGTATCATATGATCTCAGTGATGCGAGGAATTTGAGAAACAAGACAGAGGATCATAGGGGAAGGGAGGGAAAAATGAAACAAGACAAAACCAGAGAGGGAGACAAACCATAAGAGACTCAATGTCAGGAAACAAACTTAGGGTTGCTGGAATGGAGGGGGGTGGGAGGGATGGGGTGGCTGGGTGATGGACACTGGGGAGGGTATGTGCTACGGTGAGCACTGTGAATTGTGTAAGACTGATGAATCACAGACCTGTACCCCTGAAATAAATAATACATTTTATGTTAATAAAAAATAAATAAAACTACTTAACATCACTGAGCCTTGCCTTACACGTCTGTAAAATGGACATAACATTTTCCTCTTAAAATTACTCTTAAGAATTACATGAGATAATCTACGTAATGTACCTAGCAAAGTGCCTGGCACATAGTAAGTGCACAATAAATGGTAGCTCCTTATTACTGTTCGAGGTTAGCTTCAAAATCAACCAGGTCTACCCAGCTCCAAACAGTTTCTACAAAGCAAGGTGGCTAACAATGTGATCACAAATAAGTAACAGGTTTTTGGTCTCATTTAAGTCTTATTACCTGACAATACTTTTGAATTTTTAAATTATAATTGAGTTAGCATTATCATGCCACAGGGAAGATACTATTTATATGGCCACATGTAAAACTCTGATGTACTTACCACCACCCCGACAGGCATTCCTTAGTTCCTCAAACATTAATTTTTCCAGAGCATCATTCACGTAGAAAACTCCTTCAACCTGGTACGAACAAAAAGGAAAAACTATGAGCACATGCCTATGATATATATGCACTGGATAGAACGCACGTACTATATGTAATATTTATTTTACTTTACTCCTTATAAAACACTTTCTCATTACCTTAAGCAAGCACAAAACTTCCTAACAAAGACTACCAGATGCTCCTATCTTTAAATATGTATTAAAAATGTATTTTGCAATGTTCTCAAATTGTTTATTCTCCTACTCTTAAAGAAACACTTAAGAATTCAACAGGAATTTTTTGCATGTGTGATAAAGAAGTCTTGGGGCACCTGGGTGGCTCAGTTGGTTAGGCATCTGCCTTCAGCTCAGGTCATGATCCTGGAGTCCCAAGGATGGAGCCCCTCACCACACTCATGCTCTCTCTCTCTCTCAAATAAATAAAACCTTTAAAAAAAAAACAAAAAAGAAAGAAAGAAAGAGAGAAAGAAAGAAAAGACTTCCAACTATGCTCTCACCAAGGCCAAAAGTCCTACTACTCTTGTGCTTCTAAAAATCAGTGGGTCTTGATAAATGAATGAATCAAAAGAGTAAAATTCTAAACATAAAAATGCAGTCATCTGACCTTAGTGTATTTTTTCTGTGCCTAAGACAACAGCACATTACACTTTATTTTGTCCTATGCTGATTTATAAATCAATACTTAGGTAAAGAGTAAAAAAAATTTAACATGGAGCTACACAGCTGTGTGCTTAGTTCTAGAATCTACACAATTTAAGAGGATAAAGGAGCCTGACAAAAAAATACAAAAGGCAATGGAGGACGTAATTATGTAACACCAAAGGCCAGAACATTTTTATCAGATATCAAAGATAATGAAGAAGCTGCCCACTGAAGAAGCAAAGACTTAACACTAATCACCTGGACAAATTTCTTTCTTTTGTAAGAAAGAGGACTTCTGCTTGAATAACACCAGTTGAAAACGGAAAATGTCTCCAGTACAATTTTCTTTTTTTTTTTCCAGTACAATTTTCTAAGGGCCACATTTTATTAATTCACCAAACATTTACTGAGGACTTATTATGCTTTAGGCACTGTAGTGGGCAATAGGGGAGATACAAAGAATATATAAGATCCTGTTTTTTTTTTTTTTAAAGATTTCATCCATTTGTCAGAGAGAGAGGGGCAGGCAGAGGGACAAGCAGGCTCCCCACTGAGCAAGGAGCCCGATGTGGGACTTGACCCCAGGACCCTGAGATCATGACCTGAGCTGAAGGCAGACGCTTAACTGAGCCACCCAGGTGTCCCTAAGATCCTGTTTTTGAGGAAATTTCCAACCCAGGATGCAGCCCAGACTAGAAAATTAAGAGGGTAATGAGGCAAGCACTATGACAGGAGAGTGGTATGGAAGAAACTGATGAAGTGGCTCAGTAGCCCAGGGAGCTGGAGGAGGCTTGAGAGGTGTTCACGGTTTTAACCAGCTCTTCAAAGACCAGAGACATCACTGGAGCTGCAAGACATTCAGGAGATATAAAGGAGACACAAAAATGACATAAAACTGGAAGGGGAGTCTTTTAGGGAAGAGGAATTTTTAGTGCAGCATGTGGGTCTTAAGGGAGGAACAAAGATTAAGGAGGACAGATTCGGTAATTATTGTGAAATTCACTCATCTCTCAAGAATGGGAATTCAGTTCAAGCTTCGCATAAAGGTCAGCAACTTTTTAAGAGCAGTATATCGAGATTTCAACCCTCCATTCTTAGGGGAGAAATGACAGTAAAGTGCCGTACAAAGAGTCAAACGGTAACTGCCCGTCGCAAGATGAGACTTGCTCGTAGGCAGAATTAGCAGCAGTGTGTGCCAAAAGTGCAGCTAGAACCACTCCCAGACACTGACAGTGTGTTACCATGACCATCATGTCGTGGTTATTGCCTACTCCTTCATTCAGGGAACCGGATTCCATAAACAGAAACTGGCTAAACGGAAAACAGCAAAATGGAATCTTAGGACCATGGCCCTTTCCTCCTCTCGGTGTCTAGCTTTGCTCATGGGGGACACTCGGTAAGTTCTGATACTGAGTAAAAAGAGTGGAGTGGCTGTCAGGAACTCTTACCAAGACACAGACTCACAAGCCTCCAGTACACTTACAGGGCACCTTAAGGGAGGTCAAAAGCTACTTAACATATGTCCCCAAAACCTTACAAATGACTGTTTTCTTCACTTTAATGGAAAATAACAGGCACAAATGGCAATGAAGCCCGAGGGAGATAGCGAGCCCAGGCTTTCGCACTCCCTGGTACTGGGTTCCAAGTCTCCACCGGGAATACATCATTCTGTCAGAGGAAAGAGAAGTAAAATGGGTATCAAGTCCTGGCTGAGCTTCCTACTAGGCGGCTGGAGGGAACTGTGTCACCAACCCACCCCCAGCGAAGTGAGTATTAAAAACAAGCCACCCTGCCCTGCGAACCTTCTACACAGCCGCGAGAGGCACACACGTTTTATTGAACAGTGAACGCTACTAACTGGCTTCAGCAAACACAGGTCCGTAAACGTCACCCAGATGGCCGGCATGACTCAGGAAGGGGGTTCCCGTCCCAGCAACCCCACCTTGGACTGACTGGCTGTGCCACCATGTGAAAAACCACCAACGTCTCCAAAGCTCGGGAACGAAACGTCTTACGGTGTTTGGGACTCCTACGCGAAAGCGCTTTTGCAAGCGCGAATTTCGCGTTCACTTGGCTTCCCCAGGAACGCTCCGCTTCGGGGACCTTTTGCGCCGGGAGGTGGGGCCGGCCGGAGGGTGGGGGCGGGACGGTCCCCGCGCCCGGCCAGGGGTCGGGAGGGCGAGCGGGAAGGCCGGGCCCGGTGGGCAGGGAGGTGCCGCGGGCCCCCGGGGAAGGCCCCGCCACCGGCTCCCGCTTCCCCGCCTCACCTGCATGTTGGGCACGAAGCCCTTCTTGATTCTCCAGCAGTTTTTACTGATCTTTTCCAAGAACTGCAGCTCATCATTATAACTACGACTCATGGCGGCGACAACGGTAAAAAAAACTCCCCGCTCCGCTTTGAAGAGACGCTGCCGCGCTGTCCCGCTGCCTGAAGTACCGCCTTCCGGAAGTCAACGCGCAGGCGCGGTAGGCTCCGCCGCAGGATGGGCGACGGCAAGCACCGAGGCTCGAAACTCCTGCCACCAAAATCGCTTTTATCTCGGTAAGTTAGACTGCCCTCTAGTGTTTATCTTTCGGATATTTACTAAGCCCTCTTCCAGGCTTAAAGCGAAACTAAATGCAGTCGTTTCTAGTGAGATGTAGTCGTCCTTTGTTTTGGAAGTGCTCGAAAAACACACTGAATCTGGATCAGGTCCAACTGCTGTAATGAAAATCTGCGTGGAGTTTACATTCCCAACAGTGAGGGAAAAAAGATGTGGATAGCCGAGAAACATGTTTAAAAATATAACTGGACATTTGTAATGTTTCAGAATGAATTTGTGGATGCACATTAAATAACTTTTCTGTAGAAAAGAACATTCCAGGGGCACCTGGGTCGCTCAGTCGTTAAGCATCTGCCTTCGGCTCAGGTCATGGTCCCAGGGTCCTGGGATCGAGCCCCGCATCGGGCTCCCTGCTCTGCAGGAGGCCTGCTTCTCCCTCTCCCACTCCCCCTGCTTGTGTTCCCTCTCTCGCTGTCTCTCTCTGTCAAATAAATAAAATCTTAAAAAGAAAAGAACATTCCAAAGAATGAATGTGACAGCTTATCATTTATTCCAACAAACACTGATGGGGGTGGTTGTTAAGGCCAGATGTGCGCCATAAAGATGTAGATCACAGTCCTTGCGGACAGACGCCTGTCTCTTGCTCACAGTAGTAAGCGATTTTCTCGTGATTTCGGCTTCTAGTCCCACCTCACGTAAATAGCGGTGACTTTGGAATCGGAAAGACTTTGATTCAATTTCTACCTCTGCCTGGTGTGCAGAGGCTGCTTTACCAGCCTTGTATGATTCATCTCTCTTCACCTTTGTTTCCTCATCTGTAAAATGGGATCACAATTCTTCAGAGTGTCTGTGAGCATTAGGTGAGTGACAGTCATGGAGTTACCAGCACCGGGCTGGGCATCCACTTGCCCACTAGATTGTGAGCGCCACAAAGGCTGAGTTTTTGGTTTCTAGTCATTCCTACATTATCTATACGGGTCTCCTTTCCTCCTCTTCTGCCCCAGTTTCACCCCAATAACTAGATGCTCTAACAACTTAATATCACCAACTACAATAGATCTAGGCTTAGCAGTCTGCACTGCCATTTCATTTCATCTGGGAGGGAAAACCCTAGAACTTAAAGAAGTGATATAATTTCCAGAGTTTCTCACCAGAAACATCTAAGAGGCAAGGTATCCTCCCTCTTTTTTTCTTTTAAAGATTTTATTTATTTATTTGACAGAGAGAGACACACAGCGAGAGAGGGAACACAAGCAGGGGGAGTGGGAGAGGGAGAAGCAGGCTCTCCCGAGCAGAGAGCCCCATGCGGGAGCTTGATCCCAGGACCCTGAGATCATGACCTGAGCCAAAGGCAGATGCTTAACAACTGAGCCACCCAGGTGCCCCAAGGTATTCCCTTTTTAAATCAAGCCTTGAAGTCCGCTCACCTTCACTTTTTGTCAATTTAAAGAGGCTAAATTCTCTCATCTTTGTCTTATTTTATTAAAAAAAAATCCAGGGCAGAGAATTTCTCAAATAAAAAGACAAGGTTGACATTAATAGAAAACAGGTTTAATTAAATACAGGGGACAGTATCAGTAAATATAAAACATAAAATCTAATATGCGGGGAAGTGGGGAAAACCCTGGGCTGCAGAGAGAGCTAAAGGGAGCTCCTCCAGCAAGAACTCATGCAAATCTGTACTTCGGAGTTTCTCATGCACCTCCTCAGAGGCACATGGCTAGCTCTCGGCCCCAGCACCTTATAAACACAGGAACACACAATGTGCATTCGAACACGAACACACATTGAAACGCCTACCCCTCCACACACACAGACACACACCCCGATTTAGCTCTTTAACTCAGTTTGCCTCCCTCCGACCCTGAGGGCTTGAGAAAGAAAACTGTCAGCCTAAGCACTTCACAAGGGCTTTACAATCCAGTGTGCACTGTCTTCCCCTCTGGGCTTACAGTAGCTGTGGATTAAGGGCCATTTACTTCCTGGAGTGGACTCCAAACAGGCAATCAGGCGACTGGCTTCCCCCTCTACTGTCCACTTATGAGGTTCAGACCTTCCCAACCATGGAAACTTAGCTGCTGCTTTAAGGATGTTTCATACTTCAGGTCGGTGGAAATCAAAAGGAATCCCTGAAAAGGAGGCAAGGGTGAAGATAATGTCACACTCCGGCCACCGGCCACCATAGGCCTCTGGGGTTTGCTAAGGGGTGAGGGAGAGATGGTTTCTTTCCCAGGTCCTCCTGTGTCACACCCTCCCCGCCACTGTCCCCTTGTGAGTGCCTCAGCCATAGGAACAGGCCACTTGGGATTACTGTCTCCTTATGTGACTTGAGCAGCTGTAGAAGGGGAGGTGGGGAGGGAAGCGGGAGGGCAGGGTAGTGTATGGGATCGGAGAATTCCCTAGGAATCTTACTCCTCCTCCCTCAAAAAAAAGCACCAAAATGGTAGAAAAAAGGTGTTCTGAAGTTTGTTGATAATGATTAATGGGGAAACAGCTCACAACAGATCCCTGAACCTTGAGGAGGGTCTTTGGTTCGGGCAAAAGTTCAGAAGAGCCAGTCAAGTCTCATCCAGGCCTCGCTTTCCTTGTTTTAAATGGGACTGCCAATCCGGGCCTCCAAGGTTGTTTTGTGGAATGAATAAAATAAAGCACACCACGGTGCGCCTTCTCATACTGTGGTGTGAGTAAGTCTGGCTGTGAAGGGAAATCAGACTTGGTCTGATTTTCAAACTCAAGTTTCAATGCTTTTCATTGTTGACTGCAAGCTTTAAGAGCTAAGCCTTTTGTCTATAAAATTCCTTGGGCTGGAAAAACAAAGCAGAGCAAAGTAGCATAAAACAGAGTAAGCAAAATAGGAAGAGGCTTATTCTACTATGAAAAGAAATGGGGGCAGTGAAGAGAATATTCACATTCTTACCTCAAAAACTTCAATATCTGAATTGACAAATGAGATTTTGTGTGGGTGGGGCAGAGGAATTCCTTGCTGCAATTTTGCTAAAAAACAGAACGAGGTGTAAGATAGCTAGGCACAGACACAGAAGTTTTGGAAAACTTTTTAGTAAAAGATGAATAAGCAGTTTTTAAATATGTCTTTTCCTTCTTCCTGATTCTGTATTTTCATTCTATGTTCCTTGCACTTTCCTCGATGAATGCTTAATTATTTAATGAAGTACTTAATAAAAATGCACAAGCAATTATGTGCACTTGGATGGCAGAAAAATGTTGGCAACTTGTCCAGTTTATATTTTGAAAATACCTTAATTAGTGGGTCTGAGAACATTTTGGTCTCTGATACAAAATGTATTTTAACCAAGCCAAACTCAAGATGCAGTAGGTTATGAATGACTGCCTACAGGGAGAGGGCCTAGAATTGTCCTTCATTAAAACTGTCTATCCAGGGCGCCTGGGTGGCTCAGTTGGTTAAGCGACTGCCTTCGGCTCAGGTCATGATCCTGGAGTCCCGGGATCGAGTCCCGCATCGGGCTCCCTGCTCGGCAGGGAGTCTGCTTCTCCCTCTGACCCTCCTCCCTCTCCTGCTCTCTGTTTCTCATTCTCTCTCTCTCAAAAAATAAATAAATCTAAAAAAAAAAAACAAAACTGTCTATCCAGATGGTGGTCTGTGCATAAGAACCACAGAGATGCCTTCTGGGGAGATGAATCTCTTTTCTGGCGGACCTGAAGGAGACTTGTTACTGCCTAAGGAGAGTGGTTTCGATCTCCTTAACTCAACCAGAGTTTAGCTGTTCTTGCTGAGTCTGTAGGTAGTGTTGCTAACAAGGCTTGGACTTGCGATAACTAATTTTGTAACCACATCGTTGATGGTACAAACTCTGTAAACTCTGGCATGGGCCTGGATTCATACAATCACACGCTGGAAGTACAGGCTTTGGGGTGGAAAGTACCCAAACAATCCCCAACGTTTAGCAAATGTCAGAGTCACATGTTTCCTAAGACTCCCTTACCGTTGGCCAGTGGGAGGATTCCAAAGTGGAGAATAGAGGACAGAATATTCTCAAATCTCAAGACCTAAAATGAAAGGGGATACTAAATCAGTTGCCAAGTCAGGGCATTTTGAAAGTACCATGCCTGGTCTGAACGCGCACTTTCCCAGACCTTATCACGACAGAGGGCGATAATTAGAATCTCCCCATGGAGATAATCTAGCTTTCCAGACACTGAAAGCTATTTTGCGGGAAACCCTATTATACGGTTTCCCAATCTTTTTTCCTGCTTGAGGGTGGACGTTTCTGCTCCCTGGAGGCTGGACGTTTCTGCTCCCTGGAGGCTGGATCATGGTGACAACAAATGCAGAGGGACCACATGGTGGCAGCAAACATGGCAGCTTAGGTATCTACCAAGTAAGACGATCTAAACAATTACTAAGTATCCCAATTAGTAGTCTTTCCTTAATGGAGGTCCTTTGCATTATGTTATGCTCTATAATTAACAGTATCACCAGAACATCCAATTTACCCAGAATAAATTACAGTAGTTGTTAAATCTTAGCAAAGTGTTAGTTCCTGGGAAGATTCGGGTATTAAAAACAAATGGACTATGGGGTGCCTGGGTGGCTCAGTCGGTTGAGCACCCGACTCTTGGTTTTGGCTTGGTTACGATCCTGGGGTCATGATCTCAGGGTCATGGGATCAGTGGGGCCAGGCTCCTCGCTCAGAGAGCAGACTCTGGGAGATTTTCTCTCTCCCTCTCCTGCTCTTCCCCACTATGCGCACTCTCTCTCTCTAATAAATAAATATTTTAAAAAATAAATGGACTATGATGAACATCAGTTCACTCAATGAAAATATTTTGAATATCCTACATGCTTAGCAAGCTTTGCTGCTTAGTAAGGAGAGCTCTGAAGCCGACTTCCTTGTTTTTACCACTTCTATGATGTTGGGAAAGCTCTTTAATCTCT